AACAAATCTATATTGAAGTCACCATACCAAAAGGATATAAACATCAAAAGGATTTTGAGTGACTGCTGAATAACAAAGTTCAACAACAAGTTGAACTGCAAACACAAAGAATGTGTCAGAGTGTGTGTACAGATAAGTGTGTGTGTGTGTGTGTGTGTGTGTGTACATTCCAGAGGAGGGCTAATGTCACTGTATGTTAGCATCACTGGCTCAAAAGAAGGCTCAGGGTACATGCCTGTGCGTGTGTGTCTGTGTGCATAAGTGTGTGTGAGCATGAGTGTTGGTGATAATGCATTTTAACAATGATCTCAGTGTCAACTGTGAGACCAGAAGCAGGTTTCAGAGCTGAGATGGGATCACATCCTGCGAGCATAAACAGTACACTTGCATGCTTTTTGCTTTGCATGTGAAATAGTACATGTGTATGTGCTCGTCACTGTGTGTCATAGCACTTCACAGTATTTCCCAACATGAATTTTAATTGTTGTTCTGAATGAATGACTGTTTTACTTGCAGGGATAATTTTTTTTACAGACAAACACAATCTGTGCTTCATTTCATTGTCATGGAAAAACACTTCCTTGAATGGTTTTTGTGAGGAGAGAGAGGAAAAAAACTTTTTACATGACACCAGGTTGTTCACTGTAGCTTATCTGTTGCTCTGTTGTATCTTATACTTAGTCTCCACAGACACTGGCATTTTGAAACCATGTTTTGAAACAATATTCACTAATGACTATGCTCTTCCTCTAAATACTGTGTAATGCTTCCAAAACCTTAAGTCTGTTCATGAAAATGAACAAAATACAGCACAAAACTTCATTTTAACTCATCTAATTATTGTTAAAATGACTGTGCACAATCATTTTTAGTGTTTAATTAATGTTACAGTGTGAGATACAAAGGTGCTGTAACAGGCAAACAGGCACAGTCTGTGCATGTGGGTGTGAGCGTGTTAATGATTGTGAGGCATAACCATCCCTAAGGTTGTGCTCTGAGGCAAACGCCTGTGACAGCTGCAGTTTTGGGCTCAAACACACAGACACACATCTCCTTCCATTAAGTCCCAGGGACACTAAAAGCAGCCTGCGGCTAGCGCTTTTAGCTATGAAAGAATTCTTTTAAAATGTAACACATAATGAAAAGCCCGTCTTGAATTTCACTAGCACTTTTTCTAAAGTGTGGATAGTGTAGGAATACAGTATGTACAAGTGTCTGTTTTTCCTTTTCTATAATGATACCCTGAGCGATGTCTGCAGTTGAGTTTGTTGTTTCAGGTCATTGTTAAACAGTGAACAAAATTTAGCAATGTAGCAGGAGTATTTTTTTTTTTCCAGGACAGCAAACCATAGGTTGCAAAGCAATCGGTACATGTGTGATACTTTTTTTCATTCATTCATTTTCTACCGCTTAGTCCCTGAACGGGGGTCACGGGGGGCGGGGGGCGGAGCCAATCCCGGCCGGCAATCGGGCGAAGGTGGGGAACACCCTGAACAGGCCACCAATGCCAATCCCGGCCGGCACACAGACGAACAACCACACACACACACTCCTATGGGCAATTTAGAGACACCAGTCAACCTAAGCTGCATGTCTTTGGACTGTGGGAGGAAGCCGGAGTACCCGGAGAGAACCCACGCAAGCACGGGGAGAACATGCAAACTCCACACAGGTCCCAGGTGATATGTAAATGTTACAAAGTCTGACCAAGCGAGATTACCGTTGTGACCAGAGTGCTCCTTCAGACATGAAGCTGACACATTCAGATGTCATCAGATTAATGGAAAGGAGTGTACGTGTGAAAGGAGCTAGAGTAAATCAAACCTGTTTCATGTCATCCTGATGTGTGAGTACAGTAAGGCAGATACAAGTCAGAAAAGAGTTTCACCTTGAAAAGAAAACGAGCAATGGTGCTCTGTGCCAGACGGAGAGGCGTCCAGAGGTACTGGTAGAGAGCAGTGTCCACCATGCCAGGATCCACAGCGAACGAACTCACTGGGAAACCTCCGCGCTGCAGCTCCTGGTGGAGGTGGGAGCTAAATAACAGCAGGGCCAGCTTACTTTGACAATAAGCAGCATGGGCTGAATACCACTGGCTGAAGAGAGAGTAGGAGAGAAGGAACATCAGACCTGTACATGAACACAACAGGATGACAACAGGGTGGCAGGAGAATTTTAGGGAGAGTTTGGTTTGTTCAGTCCTCTTCCAGTGATCCTAGAGGGCATCCCTACAGCCATGCCAGCATTTTGATTTAAAAGAAGTTTGTACTGAATTTGAATATTAAATACTACTTAAGATTTTATAATATGTTTTGAGGGTTTAACAGCGCTGTTGTGCGTCACAGTCCACCACTGGCACCTGCACGGTTATACTTCCTAGTACGCACAAGAACTACCTACAGCAGCGTAAATCTTGTTTTAATGAGAAACCGTTCTCATTATAACAAGATACTTTACTCATTTTTATGAGATTCTTTCACATTAAATCATTTTTTACATTATAATGACAAACAGTATTTTCTCATTTTAACAACATACTTCAGGCTACTTTGTCATTGTAACTACATATTGTATTTTCTCATTATAACGTGACCCCTACACAGCTTGGACTGAGCGCAGCGTGCACATCAACTGTGAGCAGCACAGGTAAAGTCAGCGTATGGCTGCTGTCACTCACTCCAAGCCGTGTAGGCTCACATCAGGGAGTAGAAATGATGTGATCCATATAATATCATATTAAACAGCTGCTCGGGCCATAAAATGTGAAACTATATTTCTCTATTGGACAATGACTGCCAGGTGCAGTAGTGTAAAACTTGAGCAAAATCATTTAAAAAATGTATGCACGGTGTGTACAGGATTACGGCTGCAGGCGCCACTGCAGCCCACCTCTATGGCAGTGAAACAAGACAATGAAGAGGTTTAGGCTGCTAATACGTCTGGACAGCTTTGCTGATAGTAAGAGACAACACTGAGCCAAATGGAAGCAACTCTTGCTCACTAATGCCAGCAGAAATGGAGGCACATGTTGGTGATGCCGACACAGACAGAGTGCAGGTGAGTGTGACATCTTTGGGCTTAACATGTTCTTCAAATGAAACAACATGATAAAAAACTGAATAAGTGCCTCTTTAACAGCTTGTTATGCAAATAGACATGTAAGGTATATATAAACATTATATGGATTACATACATTATGGATGTGACTGCTAAAAAACTAATGGCTAATAGCCAGCAAGCATTAAAGCTAAGTGTATTGTAAGAATTACTGTTCACTGTTTGGGCCATTTCCTCATTATCTCCATGTACTGTATGCATAGGTGTGTGTGTACTGAATGTATGTGTATGTATGAACCTACCAGCTATTTAAATCATTTAATCTGATCTTGCCGATGCGGTGGGCAGAGGAGGAAACACTGACCACACGAGAGAAGTGACCACATTTCCCAGAATCCTTCAGTCTGTCCAGGAGTAGCCAGGTCAACAGGCAGTGGCCTAGGTAGTTCACCCCTAAGTGCTGCTCAAATCCATCTTCAGTACGGCCCTCAGGAACCAGCATGACACCAGCTTGACACACAAACATTTCATGCACACAGAAACAGATTTCAGCATTTAAGAACTTCTTGGGCTTGTCGCTTCTGTTTGTCTGTCTGCTACCACAAAGTATGTAAATACGAAATGGATGGCTGACAGATCTCATGAGTAAACTGATGCAAAGTCTCTTTTTTATTACTATTCTTATTTTCCACTTGGCATTAGGAAGACTGTGTGTAGGAAGAGTGGATACACTGCTGAGTTCAGCGCTTTATTCAAGTGCAGTTGAGTGGCTACCTCTGAATCACACTGTTGTGTAGAGGATTTCTACTTTCTCAATGAATACGTGATAGACTACTTTACATATACAGTGTCACTCACCATTATTGACCAGAATGTTTAGCGGCAGGTCCCGCTCCTTGAAGCTCTGGACAAATTGACGGACAGACTGCAAAGAGGCCAGGTCCAGTTTCCTGAACTCAACTGCAATGCACGCGCACACACACACACACACATTTGTCAGAGCCATTGTAGACTAATTATTTTTTGCTGGTCATTTTAGTGGTAAGACACCAAAGAGTGTATTAATCCTCTCCCACAGCAGGCTCTCTGGGTTCTTGCACTACAATACTGGCAGCGCTATGCTTCTGTTACTCCAGCAGATTATATCAAACCTAATACATCTTCCTGTGCTCCATCAAAGCTAAACACACTAATGTATGATAAGACACGGGTAGGGAAGGGAGGCCCAGGAGCTTGTATCATCAGAGCGTGAAAGTGACTCTGTGTGCCTGGGTCTAAGTGTGTACATATGCTTGCAGAAAAAGTACTTTGGGGATGTTGAACAGGAAGTATACTTAAAAAGTTTGACAGACAGCGTTGTTGTAAAGACCTGTACTTTGCACATTCTGTACTGTTAATATTAAACCAGCACTATTTACCGTAACTCCTGCATAGATATAAGACAACAATGCAATGAGGCATCCTCTTATTTATGGAAGCAAATGACATGGAATTACTTTAAAACCGGTGGTGTGTTTTTTCTCATGTCAGACATGTCACTGCTCCAATGTGAAGGAGTGTGTGGAACAGTGGGTGGATAAGGACCATGTTTCTGAGTTGCCTCCCTCACACACAGCACCGTGCTTGTGTGTATGTTTGGGTTCGTTCCATAGACTGTAGATGGCTGCAATAACTAAAAGCAAGCTCATGCTCATTTCTCTTTTCTTTACAGGCTCTGTTGGTGGAATGACCTTCACAATCCGCACAGGGCCACAGAGTCACTTCTAATCTTAAGCAGTAAATTTAAATTTCATCTCTTCAAGAAATGCTTTAAATTGTACCCCCACCCTCCTCCACCCGCCAACGCATGCACACTGCATGCTTTAATGTTATTTCCTAGCACTTCTAGCTAGACAGGAAATGTTCTATTAAAGTACAAATATTGCAAGACTAATTCATAATGTTTCTGCTCTCGCAATGTAATTTTCTCTCAGTTTGCAGCCAGAGACGACCCATAGTTGCAATATAATATAAAACATAAATATTGACTGGTGCTCACTTGTGCCATATTATGATCTTTCTACTGTTTTTGCAGTGTTTCTTCTGAGGATGCCAAGGGTAGCCATAGAAATAAAGGACACAAATGTGAGGCTCCTCTACAGTAAAACAGGGTCAAATACAGACCGAGAAGAAAAGAGGACTAAGAGGGAGCAGGCAGATGGAGAGCTGATTGAGCTGAGAGAGAAGAAGGCCGCTGTGACAGAGGAGAGTGCAGCTGTCTCTGATGAAGGTCTGATAGCGGCCTTATCTCCAAGCCATCCACTCACCTCCAGTCGTAGGTGTATGTTTATGTGCATTTGAACTGTATACCGGATGTACTAGCAAGTGTCTATTGTCTGTACACATGTGCATAAGCTTGAAAACAGGTACATGTGTGTGTGTCGTGCATGGTGGTCCTCTCCGGTCCTCTTGGTGGGCTCCCTTGAGGCCGAGCCCTTTCAGACAGGCCAGTCATATCTTGAAAGCCCGCTGGGAGTGAAATGCCATCGATCGGGCTTTGGGACTGCTGCTGCCCGACTTCAATTAAGACTCCAGCATCTTCTGAAAAGCTCTGCTTCCTTGACTCAAAAGCCAAACACACCAACTGTGTTTTTGTTACAGAGGATTACAGAGAACAGGAAACGCTCGGGAGACACGTGCATGCTGTTTAAGAGACACGGGATCTGTTCACAGTCTGTTTGAAGAAAGGCAAATTAAATAATTAGGCAAACCTTTTAATCAGTTTTGAGATAATTTAATAGCAAAGTGAGTGTTAGTATTTTATTTCAGGTGAAAGGTTTAATGTGTCATTTGCTACTGAAAATCCTTCAAGAAGCAAGTGGAGTGGACACAATTTCACCAAACTTCATTATGATTTTTACACAGTTTTACCTTAAACTTGCAATGAAAAACCACTGAACAGTGTTTCCAAATATTTCAAATGTCTTTTTTTTTACTTTAGTTTATGTTTCTGTAGTTTTAACTAATGTGGTCCAACAGAATTTATGAAGACATACAAACGCAGTCCTTCAGCACGCAACAAAAATGTCAGTGAATATCTCACTTTTACGTGCTCAGCTGCTCTGCTACTCTTTTATCACACCCTTCCCCGAATAACCAAGCAAAAACGAGCACAGTCTACATCCTGAACAGCAGATAATTAATATGTAGGCTGGCTGATGCCCACAACTCACAAAGAGAGAGTTCAGTCTTTGGCCTTCATCCTGTAGCATCTTCAGCTCTGTTTGGTGTTTCTTTACAAAAAAACAAACTTTAAAGGAGCAATACACAAAATAAGTAAATACATAGATAAATAAGGGAGGGCTGTCTGCTTTTCTTACCATTCTCCTGCCACCTGGCTTTACGTGCATCTTGTCCTGATTGTGACTACATGATTAAGCTGGATTACACCTAAATCTGATATTAAAATTCACTGCTGGTAAACACACTGAATTTTGCTTCTGTTTGCCACAGGCCAGAGATATTGTGTTACTCAGTGGTTTAAAACTGAAAGTAAACACCTTGATATGCAATAAATGTTTGGAAACTGCTCTAATGTCCATGAGGTAAGACAGCTTCCAATAATATGCATAAATATTAGTCTATGGTTGTGCATAAATAATAAGTTGTACACAAAATTGTGTTTTCGTAAACTCTTGTGTAGGTCAAATCCTATATAAAATGTATTGAACAGAGGATACATCATTTCCACAAAGTGCACGTGTTCAAAGTTGGACTTTTTTAAACGCATATTCTCACAGACTACATATTTTATATATGATTTAACTTGTGCAAGAGCTTTCTAAAACACAATAGTGTACATCTTATTAATTTATGCACAACCATAGACTAAAATGCACACATATTATTGACAGTTGTCTCATCTCATATCAAACCATCTTCAGAAGTGTTTGGATGATTAGGTTAATTCATTTTTGGCTCCAAACACAACACACAAGTTTTTCAGAATCCTCTTTATGTCTTGAATCACATCCCAGTGTCTCACCTACCCTCTCAATAATAATGTCTAAAATAAAAAAGGACCGCCGTGAAACCGCCTCTTATGAAACCCAGACAAGAAAGAATAAAATGTTTCACTTTGAGCTGTCTGATAAACAACACAGTGATATCCAAGAATATTAGGCCTGGGCACGGTGCCAGTGTGAGCTTCTCTATAGACTGTTTTTATTCAGCTGGTGTGGGAGAGAAGAGGCTGGCTGCTGACCCACTCAACTCCAGCTTGAAAGTCAATGGGATGATTCTCTGCCAAGTCAAGACAGCTGTGAACCCAAAGCGGCGTATATGGTGAGGCTGTCTTACTCACACAAATAAAATAGCGCCGATACAAATAACACTCACATACATGTCTTATATGGACAGTCACAAGAAGATCTGCAAAATCCACAGCTTTAGGAAATGCACACAATGTCATGCTTGTTAAACCAAAACATGTTTGTGGAGATACACAATATAACAAGGTCAGTCTTTTCTCAGTGTTAAACTCTGACACTGCCGATTCCATTCATGACTGAGAACAAAGGTGACTAAAAACTGTGTTGATTGGAGTGAAAAAGCTTTACCAAAATAAGTCAGCGTATGGCAGCAGTTTTTGTGAGAAGGGAGCAGCTGCGTTACCTAAGCTGAGAGAAAATTAAACGTGTATTAAGCAGACAACACACACACAGGTTCCATCGCTTCACACTGTTAATCTAGGCCTGTGGTTTGAGGCAGAAAGTGTTACACCGTGACTAAAGTTAGTGGAGAGACAGCTTACCTGTGGTGAAAACACAGAAACACCCCGTATCTGCATAGGTGTGTGCGTACAATTTAATGTATAATACTTTAAGCCTCATCGACTAAAGCCCACATGCAGTCTCTTTAGCATATTTCCACAGGATTGTACTTAGGGTTTTGTAGGGACAGTATCAAATGTTGTGTAGCTGTACGTCAAATTACCACTTGTGGTGACAATGTTTGTAGGTGTTTGCTGATCTTGCATTTTCCAAAACAGTCTGAATGTTACACTCTGTATTTGTTGCGCTGTCGTTTTGTGTAACTCTAATCACCATAAGTAATGTTAATGAATGACACATCTAGCCCCTCTTGTCTGCAGGGTATGCTAACAGTAGCTAGCTTTAGCTCATTAAATCCTATGGTAATGTTGGACTTTTATTTCTGACAGCTACCCAGATGTATATAATGTTAGATATTTATGTTTTACACTGAACCATGATGCGCCTGTACAGGGACATCCTGTGGGGTCATGACCCTTGTGATTGGGAACCACTGTCCTAAAAGACTTCTACAATCGTCCACAAGTAGCCAGTTTGACAACCACCTCTGCAGCCTAGATGTAAATGTATATTATGAGCTGTCTCTCATGTGAAAACACTAGGAAGGATGCAAAAAGGTGTTTGGACAGAGACGTTTAAAGCTCCTGCCTCACATACTTATGACAATCCATTACCGTCTCATTCAAGCACACACATCAACACATTCATCATATTCAGTGCATAAGCATCTGGACAGAGACATGCCACTTGTCCCCTATGCCTCAGTGCCTGCTAATTACAAAAGGAGTAATCAATTTCACCACAGGCCCATCCTGGGAAATCGGCTTCAGTGACACCAGCTACATGGCCAGCGTATCTGTACCTGACAGCCACTTACACACTTGCAGCGATCAAGCCAGCTGGCTTTCTGCTGCTCTGCACTGCAAGGCAAACCAAGACAAACAACAGCTTCCTGCCCAACTAGCACCACTACTTTAGCCTGTACTCAGCTCCTCCAATAAAAATGTATGAAGTAGTAATAAATAGAACTGAAGAGCATTTGCCATTATCTGTTAATCAGTATTTTTCTCACTGGAGCTGGACTTTACAGACATGTTCAATAAAACAATGTATTAGTCTAAATAAGCAGAACCTCTTCAGTTAGCAAGTAAAATTAAAGTAAACAATCATATGCTCACTCATTGTTTTTAATATATTCCCCTGTATCTTGTACACACGAGGCCACAAGATCAGCTGTAATCACCAGTTTGCAGGTCAGGATTTTGTTTTGTTTTTTCCAATTTAAAAGTAAATCTGAAAGCTCTGTTAATGAAATTTACACCTTCCTCTAGTGACAAGACAGGCGACTCGTTTTCAATTACAAGAGTGGGAAATTGTTTATTTAAAACCTGCACACTAAAATCAATTTGTGCTTAAAATACACACATTTGAACAGTGGATTTACCTTGACAACTACTAACAATGCATTTGCACACAGATAAACTTAAACTTAAAAAAAAATTGAATTGCAGTACACTAAAAAAAGTTCAGTGTACAAAGAAATCTCTGCTATGTTTTTGTTGTCCATGCTAACATGCACAGTTGTATGTTTGTTGTTATGTTTGTGTGTGTACTAACTGGACAAACAAGGCACTGTTTAAAGCCCCAGCTCTTTTGATTTTAGCTATGTATTTCAAACACTGCACAACCTGGAGGTAATGAAATATTGAGCAGATGACTGTACTGGTTGGAACTGACTGAGGGTCCTTTGTTACCCGAGGTTTGACAGTCAATCACCTTCACCACAGTGAACCCATGAAAGAAAGACAGAGCTAGCCAGACGCCCTCCTGTCAATAATGTAAGACACCTAACATTTTCAAGCTCAGCTTGCACTGCTACGACTGTCTGAGTAGAATACAAATGCACAATAGTTGCAATAGGACAAAACATTTATATAACTAAGCGTAAATGGCTATACAGATAAAAGAAAAAATAGAAAAACCAGCTCAGTTCATTGAGTTTGGACCCTTCTGACTGAAACACCACAAAAAAGGACTGAAAACCTTTCAACATCAGCAGATACGTATAGACAACACAAAGTTCAGTTTGACTTTAGAATCTGAATCACCACCTACTGAATTGATTTAATCACCTGAGGTAAAGAGCTACTGACGCATCCTACGAGGCAGATAGGACTCAAGGCTGCTTGACAGAGAAGAAAACTTAGTCAAGATGGTGGAATTTATGGTGCTGTGAAGGTCAGCCAAAACAATTTCTCAATGTGGGAGTTCCAGAGAATTCTGTAAGCTTCAGTCAGTGGAGCAATAAATCTCTGCTTTCGTCTGTCTCCTCCCTTCTCCATCACCTCCTCTGCACCTCCATTTTCCCTCCACACCTTGTTCTTTTTTTCATCTTTTATTTTCCCGTATTTGCCCATTTGACCGTGTTCCTCCCCTCTCTGCCTCGTCCCATGTCACCCTCCCCACTCATATTTTGGTTGACTCATCTCCCCTCATCTTCTTCTCACAGCCTTTTATCTTCCCCACCGTGTATTAAAAACACTCCTGATATTGTATATCCAGCATGAAAGCTCTATGTTTGTGTGTGTTTATACCTGCCAAGTGTGCAATTATGTGTATGTGTCTGGTAAAGACTTTAAAACTAGCCTGAGGGATGCACTGCTGCAGCGCTGGCCTTTATCTTCAAATACCGCCACGCTAAAACAAGTGCATCTGTGTGCCTGTGTGTGGTGATAAACAACATTACCTTTGGCCTCTTTGTGCTCTTCACAGATACTTCTGACAGCTGCCAAGCCCTCCTGCTCATCCTTCCCACCTGTAGAAGGAGGAGACACACACATGCACATTTCATTTTTTTGGCAGTCCTGTGTTCTTTCCTCTTATGAAAACATATCTCCAAGATGTGTTCTTCAAAATCCCTTGATGAACATTCATGTATATTAACAAGTGTTCTGAGGGAATGCTGTGCAGTACTTTAAAATGAAATTAATTACAAAAGTAATTCAACAACAGTTAACAGGTGATGGTAAGAGACACTGTGATGCAAGTGATTCCAAGAGTGAGAGCAGCAACTTCAAACTGGTGTGTTATGTTGGAACTCGGCTGTCTCGTTTTGAACTGGTAACCAGAGATAAACTAGTGGATAAAACATAATCCTTGTTGTTAATATACTTGTCTTATAAGTACATCGCAAGAGCATTTGTATATGACTAAGTCACAACTCAAAACAGCATGTGCAAGAAGCAGACAATATCTATGGAATCAAATATCAAAGTAAAATAATGTTAAACAAACTAACCTCATAATGTTGATAAAATCCTGATAATACCAATCGTGTGTTCTGTGTGCGCTTTTATAGATCAGTAGAAATGCTGACCTGTGGGTCAGCACTCCAGGAACGTCACAAAACTCTGTTACTTTATACTGAGACATATTAGATGTTTTAATAATTTTAACAAGCAGATGCCCTTATCAAAGATAGAGGACGGACATTTCGTTTCCAGACGTGTCTGCATACAAATGAAACTCTGCTTCTATGAAGGAGAGACGAAATAAATTAGAAACAGGATGTGAGAAGGAGAAATGGACACATGAAGGAGAAATGAAGAGCTAGTGTCTAATTTACACACAAGAATGATTCTAAAGCACAGTTATTCGCATGTACAAGTATATATGGCACCCATTTGTGCACTGTTAAATGTAGAGCTACTGATAAAATGGCAAATTAGTGCTGACAATTAATCAATTCAATCCTTGGTCAGTTGGCAAAACATTAGTCAAGCATTAGTTGTTTCCCACTTCCCAAAAGCAAGAATTTGCTGCATACACAGTGAATAAACACACACACACACACACACACAAACTCTCTTTTTTAAACTCATATGCACAAATAGCCACGCACTCATTTTCTGTGAACATGGACACACATAGACACACTAATCTTGGATTATCATGCCAGCCCTTTCAAAGGCACAGAGTCATTTACCCTGATGCACTGCGATCCAGGCTGGGCTGAAGGATGCAGCTTTTCAGGGTGACGTGTCACAGTGGTCACACAAACACACACCACAGTCACACACTGATACCACACAAATACTTTTTTTTTAGAGAAACAGCTGTTGTTCAACAGGCCTCTCTGCTCCTGGACTCACCGAGAATGCTGTATAACATTAAATTTACATTTTGATCAGGGGTCCCCATTAAAAATAGGCCCTGAGGAAATAATTTGCCTACTAAATATTTTGGGCTGCGTATTGAAAATATAACCTGATTCGCTGAAATAATTCTGCTACAGCTGAACAAATGAATAAACCGAAGGTAACGCAAAGTGTGAAAGTTCTAAGACAGTAAAGTTCAGTATTTGTGCTTCTGTGCCCTCTTTCCAAGAACAAGATAGACATATGCATAAGATGAACAGGCATGATGATATCCATCCTGACAACTTTGCTGTGACAAGATGTGGAGAGGATGCACACAGTCACTTGGCTGTCGCTGCAAAGGTGGAGAGGATGCACACAGTCACTTGGCAGTCGCTAAAAAAACAAAGGTGCTAATTCCCACTAAAGCAGCAAACTGTCATTTTTACACTTACAGTACAAGTTCTGGGTTACACAACGCAGCGTGTTAACTCTTCAGCGTATGAGGGGTTACTGAAGGTAGATTTGAACCCTGGCAACAGTCTGGATAGTTGTTTTCTCTGTATGCTAAAAGGCTAAAAATACACATTTAGAGATTCAAACTGGAACACAGTGTAGCACAACTACAGTAATTGTAAAGAGAGTAGCACACAATGCAGTCTTAAGATGTGTTGTGATAGTTTACTGATGCAACAATTACAAAAATAACTCTAGAAATCAAAATGTATGTTTAAAAAGTTGGAACCTAACAACCTAACATAATTTAACACCCTCTCACATCAATGTCATGTTTAATAACAACCAGAGAAATGACTGACTTAGAGGTGTTCCAGTTTGTTCTGTCAATCAAATTTTAAAATGGTACAGTTTCTTTAGCTCAGAGGAAGGTGATGAGAAAACAGCTGGTTTAACATAAGGCAGGTTATATGTTGTGTCTGGTGTCACAGGCAGAGAAGTCATTTCTCAGTCTCTGTGATCAACGCTTTGTTAATCACTGTTTGATCGAGCCACGCAAATAATCAGTGTGCAACTTTAGGCTGTCACTTAGTCATAACTGAGGTTTGAGAGAACAGACTGATGTAGCAGGGTTATACGTGATTAAGATTCATTTTCTATTGAATGAGAGTTTGTCCTACAATACACCGTTTTAGTTGTCTAATATGACATTTTGTACCTGACATGTATTTTTTTGTTGCCACATGCATGGTGGAGATTTCATGCATGCGACTATTATTGTGGGTGCCCTGTGGACCCTGCTGCCAGTTCTTGATGTGGGACAGTGTACACAGCAGGTAATTTACACAAGACCTGGCTTATTGGTGTAAATGAATAAGCACATTTCCCAAGGTGAATCTGGCAAACCAGCACACCTCCTGGTTAATGGGAATGGAAAACAATCAGCACAGCAGCATGACTGACTGCTCAGTGATAGATTTCATTCAGTCTTATGTGACCAATTTGACCTATAGAGACTCTCTCCTCCGCTGTAGCAAACACAAGAACGTAGACTTTCACAAGATGATTTCCTTTGTGCATCCAGTTTATCAATCCTACACATCAAAATGTGTTGTTCAATGCCAAACCTAATTTAAAGGCACTTTCCAGAGTAAAGTAATGGAGCAATACATTCAGCTGATAAACTGTTCCCATCATTAGCATAGGCCTTAATAAAGCTTTTACAAAATGAAAATGGTTGGCACTGATTAGGAAGAAAAGAAGACGTCTATAAATACTGATATTTTCTAAAAGGCATCATTTTAATTCAAAACCTGCTCAGAATGAACAAAGACAAGTACACCTGCACACTTGTTAATATCCAACTCCAGTATTAGACAGTGGAGAGGCTCAAACCATAAACTCTCCTCACACAGGCACTATGCTAGCACTCCACCTGAAATATGCATCCACTCCATTACCGGAGAGGGATCCACTTTACCATAAATATTCTCACTTCATGAATTTTCTCAAGAGGTATAGAGATGTAGAACGCCGACACACTCCGAGTCCTTGTAAGTCAGCTTCAATACACACAGGATTGACTGGATCAACAACTGACACCAAAAGTTTTCGTAAAGATATGTATTGCCAAAGTCTCACAGCTGACTCGGTGTGCACACCCAGTGAAGGGTGTTCTCGAGTTTTCAACTTCGTGTGCACACCCAGTGAAGGGTGTTCTCAAGTTTTCAACTTCATGAACTGAAATGAAGATGCAACATCACCCTGAAAGCCAAAAACAAGTTTCTGTTCTGTGTAGAGCATCATGGAGATGCAAGGTTCTGAGCATGAAGAGTAGTTGTATGAAAAAGGAGTTTGCATGGAAAAAAATGAATAATTTTATGGTATATAAGTTTTTGAATTGGCCCCTGTCAGTATTCATCGTTGCCACCTTGAATGTCTGCCTCATGTTGTGGTATTGACCTAAAAGGAGTGTGTGACACTATGTTTCTGCTCACATTCAGCTCTGATTATGGTGTGAGGCAGACTGGGCACAGTCAAGCAACTATAATACCAAAACATCCACCGCTTATCCTGTAGAGGGTCACAGGGGTGCTGGAGCCAACATTAGGAGAGAGTTTGCTGGTCTATCACAGGGCTGACACAGAGACAGACAACCATTCACACTCACAGGCAATTTATAGTTGCTAACTAACCTATCTTGCATGTCTTTGGACTGTGGGAGGAAGCTGCCCTACCAAAACATATGAAGTACTGTTAGTAGACTTTGGTAAAAACTGCAGACACTCTCTCCACATCTGTTAAACTAACCTATCAACATATACTGTGATTTAAAAAGTGCTGTATAGGAACCAACAAACACAATGTATAATCTGTTTAATGTGGCCAGCAAGTGAAATGCTCATCATGACTATTCTGATGAGCTGACATCTGAGTTAAACTGAAACTAGACTGAGTAACCGTAGGCTACAAATACTGAGTAGAGCATAAAACGTGATCCTGTTGGTTTAATGGGCACCGCAGAAATGACATCAACCCCCATGGGAGTGTACATTTAAGGACATACTAATGGCACTTAGCTCAGCTGCCAGTTGTGCAGTGTTGCTGGAAGAAATGTTAGATGAAAAGGAAAATGCACATCCTCAAAATATAAATCCCAAGCAGACCCCTTCAGACAAAAAAAACAAAGCACAATACAAACAATTAAACAGGATGCCATCTCACCACTCCTGTGTTTCCACCACAGGGAAAACCACGGACGTAATGGAACAGGCTGTTAACAACTTGTCTGATACTGCAGGGAAGAATATAATTAGGAAATTCACTGTAACAGATAAGTTGAATGGCTGTTTTCTTGTTTTTCCAAGCTTCAGATAAGGACAGTTAGGATAGCTACTGTGATAATATTTTCATTTTTACATGAATGCATGTAAAAATTCTCTAACCCTTTATTGTCATCTCTCTAATAATGACACAATAAAAAAAAAAACGCTGTGAAATATAGTTTATAGTCCATGAAAAAACAGACTCACCTTGATTTCTGAAGGCCAAATTATACTTTCACCAACTGCACTGCTGAGAGGATCCAAGTATTATAACTGGTAAACTGTTCATGTCTGTGAGCATGGGTGGAGCCAGGGGGTGAAAAGCAAGAAAAAAGTTTGCGCACTGACTTCAAATTAGTCAAGACTGAAAATTCCTGAGTGGTGTCTTAGCAGGTGCACATAGAAATGTGCCTTTCAGGGTGATGTCTGTTTGATAATGCCTGACAAAGATCTTGTATAGATCGAAACATTGCTGCTATTGGATTAAATTATTGGGAGCTTAAACACAGTGTGCAAACATTTTTCTTGCTTTTTGCCTTTAAGCTGTTGTTGGTTCAGCACCTGTAAAAAATATTTTTGGATGTGCATGCCCTACGTTCTTTGGAGCCAGGGGGTGGCCAGGGGTGGCACTGGCACCGGCCACCCCAAGAATCTGATTGTCCACCCCTGGTGTGACCCCTGCCAGAATCAAAATGTATTGCTTGTCAGTATTAATGAATGAAAAATAATGAAAACCTGTTGCCTTAAATACAACTAACATTTTTCTGACTTATACAACTTTTCTGCGAATCAGTTTGTTTGTGAGAAAAACAATCACAATACAACACTTCTTAGTCATAAAGACCTATTTACAGATTCATCAAAGTGCACAGAATGATTCGTTTCAGAGCCTAGAGTCAGAGGGTTCAACTAAATGCTAAAGTCTATGAAGGAGCTGAACCATTAATAACAGTACAATATTAAAGGGGGAGACAGCAAAGACATCGGAGGCGGCGTGATTAACATATTTAACAGAGTGGCTGCAGAGATGTATAGCAGGATGAATTAGTGATCAATGTAGTACATCACCTTGTACATGACAAATGGCACTTCAAGAGGGGGGGACCTGTACAATATGTAGCTAGAAAGACGTAAGGACAATAGGTGTTCATTCTTATTGTGATGGTAGCAGCTATGTATTTAATGTGCTCAGCTGGGTTACAAAGTTGTTTCTTTATAAATCACATTTAAGATAAATGCCTTTTCCTATTTTACAATATGTTTATGAAGTTTAGACAATCCGAATTTGCATGTAGTTAATCTGTGTTTTTGTGAATGAAAGGTTCACATAGTTGCAACAAAGACTGCGGTATAAAACATTCAAGCTATTTTCCTTTACAAACTTTTGCATTTATTCTTTCAACAGTAAATATTGCTACATAATTAATGCAACGACATCAGGCCTTGTTTCAAGCAGTTTGATAACTGTCCTTTAACGCACGCAGAGCTCAAAAAGTCTTTATATCAGCTGACAGTGGAGCATCACACATATTTTCTAATGATGAAAACAAACTGTTCTGATGTTATTCCACATCTTAAGACACATCAACAGGGTGTCAAGAGGCATCTGAATGTGCTGCTGACCATCTGATACTAATTAACGATCTCTGACAGCAACAGGCTTCTAAGTAGACATACACAGGTACATTCAGCCTGACTGGCACTGCAGAGCCATACTTTTGTTTGCTGTACACTATAAAGGACTTTGTTGTAATTAGATCCATCTATAGCCCAGTATCTCCCCCCGTAAACCCAACCAACACAGCTCCTGTACGCTGGACTTATTATCCTGGTGCTTTGAGACAATGGCAAAGATAGGGACGTTCAATACCATAATGCTGGTGAGTTAGGCATACACACAGACTGATGTATTACTTACAGGGTTAACCTATAATGTGCAAATATGAATTTACACTCTTCAAACCCATGGACCCTTAACAAGGATGTTCATTGATCAAGGATTCACACC